GCCTTCAAAAAAGAAGCTCCGAAAGAGCCGCTTGGGGAGGCAGTCATTTCAGTATGACTGTGGTTGAACAGGAGAAACCATCGAGCCCACCATTTGACAACATTAGAAATTGCGACTTACAACGCGTCATTTTAATTAAAAGTGCTTAATTGTTTCCAGCAGGAAAACTAAGAACCGAATGCAAAATTGCTGGAGTCCTTCGTCTGAAACTTGACAAACACAACACTCCCACAAGATGCGTAGCCCATGACTAGCGACCTTGGCAAACTTCATCGGATAATTGCTGTGTGAGTGATGATTTAGACGCGCATGGTCGCAGATGCCCATGCGTTACCGACATGTACAGTACTAGTGTAAACAGGTAACACGAAAGAGACCGGTGTTGGCCGAGGCTCCAATGGATTGGTATACTTTTGAATGTTTGGCAGGCACACAAGCACCGTATTTTAGGCGGTCGCGAACCGCTGTTTACAAAGCAATCTTACGCTTACAACAAGTTAAAAGTCCTCGTACGAAGCAAGTGGCTTCTGCCAGGGCGCGCTACGACATCAAAGGCATGTTGGTTATCTCAATGAGAAAGCGTTAGGCAGTATAGGGCTCACCGGTTTTTCCCATTCGCAGCTTGTTCAAAGGTCAGCAATATGTCAGAAACCGGGTCCATGCGATCCATTGCTCTAGATAACGGGACAGCTTCTCGCTCACTGCGTGTCATGATTCGACGACAGTTCCACTCCGTACCATTAGACCTCACTCGCGCAACCGAGATCACAAGTAGCCAACATATTTGTCCCTCGCTTTGTCACAATTCGACCGTTTTGCCGCAGAATGGCTGGCGCAGGGACGATTAGTTTATCGAGAACTAGTTTCTAGTGATAGCGGACTTTCGCAGCATCTGCTGCAGTTTCTCCTTCTCCACTCACGTGAACCCCGAGTGAAGACGGTATCGAGAAGACTTGAAGCAGGATCTACCGCAGCGCTTTTTAAAACTAAACAGCCTTTCTACTCGTGCCACGCATGCCTGGGTTTGGCACGATAAGCCGGGTTTTCAAATAGGAGCCATTCAGTATAGCTCTCAGTCCTGAGAAAACCGAGTTATTCAGTCATTTCGCAGCTTTCCAAGCTATACCTTTGTGTGATACATTCAAACGCGTCATCTTTATCATAGTGGGGAATGCGCTACTGTGTCGTTGGGACAAATTACCCACAGTCGACCTCACGCCCCCTCTTCCCTCGTATAAGAACGTCCTCTGTCCGAGCCTGTCGTATATCTTATGCTGTGGTTGCGCGCAGTCAATAGCCTGGTGGGAGGCCTTCGTTCAAGCCTGCCCCCAACCCGCTCCCGTGTTCGAAAAATGTTCTGGGATGTGCGGACTATACATACGTATAATTGCGCCCGATCTCAGCAGCAGTCGGCCCATTGTCTCGAGCGATCTTTTCATGTGAGAAAAGTTTTTTCGGTACTAAGGCACGCTTAATTTTGTCAATTCCGCGTAGGTATTACTAGAATCCGTGTTGCGCACACAAAATTAACGAGATACACTAAAACGTATGCCTTAGAAAGCTTTCAACTGCGGGGCTACTAGGTCATTCTCTGGAACGAGAGTCGCGCCGTAAGTCCTTCTTGATCGTGTTGTTTCCCATTTTGTCTCTTGAATCCAAGGCCGTATGTAACGGGTGGAACGGAGGTTCGCTGTCCAGTCAATGCTTCCAATCTCATCCCCAGTCTACTAGAGTCGGACGTATCCTTAGTATGAGGAAGGAGAGGCAGTGATTGAATGGAGTTTTGACCCAGTGCTTAGTTTCTTCAGAACAACCAACGAAACACGTTTATATATTTCTCAACCGAGGAGGTAACAAGGCTCTCTTCGGGACCGAAATTCGGCCTCATTAGTGTAGCCCTCATAACAATCACTCTTAAGCGACGAGATATCCCTCGTTTAGTATTCCAGTGTATATTGAGCCATTTATTGAACATACAGACGTACTCCCTAAAGTTTGTAGTTGAATCTGATTACGACAACGCCAATCCCCCCTGTGGGACCTTTCGGACAACCTTGCGACTAGCGAACGTACCGTAGAGTGCATACGTATGCGTCACCAAGTATCGAACATCTGAGAAATTTCTCATGAACAAGAATTCGTCCACTGGTAAACGATAGCAAATCCAGAGCCCAGTTATGATTGTTATAGTCTTGACAATCTGTCCGATAAAGGGAAGCAAATACTGCAGTGAACTGATAAACGCAGTCTGCCGTCCTTTGCTGGGAAGCGTATTGAAGTTCGAGAATGTGCCGCCGTGATTATTCTATCAGTTCATCCACGTCCTGCCCCAATCTCCCTCTCTCTCCCTATCTCTTCCTGTAAGGTAGTTAATCTGGTCATCAGGAACGATCGCATTTTCTCATGATTGTTCAACCAGTGGCCAGTGGATCACTGTGAAGTGTTGTTATAAGTATAATAGAGCCATTGGCACAGATAAATCTGATTTTGTCTATTCAATTTACTCTTACGTAAGTATTTTTTACCCGCTTCCCTCAGGTCATTCACTGGCTGTATGAGCTCTCTGTGTGCTTGACAACTCTACCTGAAGGGCCTCTTGAAACTTTGTCCGTTGGCGACTTCAAACCGATCGGCTTCTCACTTAAACACCTCGAGGAGACAGTAGACGCCGCCATTGCACTTTGCGTCAATGTTGTTGATATTGCCGAGGCGACAGGGCGCAAGAATCTCCTGGTTATTCTACTACCACTTTTCTGCGACCTTCTGGTGGACAGTACGTCCACTTCCGGTGCCAGCAACGACGCAGTAACCTCCGCCCCCGCTAATTCATCGCAGCTAACGGGTGGGGCCATCCGCCGTCTAGTACACGGTCTCGCTTTCCGCAGTCTCCTCGCTCTCGG